AAATTTGACCGGCACGTTGATTAATAAACTAAAAATTCTGTGGTTGAGATTTGTGCAGAGGAAAAAGAATTAACTAGAACCACAAATTCTTTACGTAAAAAGGAAAGTAGTAAAATTAGTGAGATATCCAAAAAAAGAAAGTTGTCAAAGACTCATGTTCACTTCTCCGTGTAGGCGACTTGCATTAATAATTACGGAATAGTTATTATGATCAATAATAAGAGTCTAGAAAGACAGACAGTCATTGAAAAAAGTTTGCACCATCCTCTGTCAGCCTTTTTTATGCATAGACAGTTGTACGTCGTTGTCTCGACATCTATTAAGGATGTTTAATTTGGCTTTATTTCAATCCCAGTGCAGTTCAGATAACACCACATCAGATTTCGACGGTTGTAAAACACACGACTAGACATCTACCATATCAAATCAGTTCAAATCTGACCATAAAACTTAGGTCCAAATTTAAGTCCAAACAAAAAACATTTTAATTGTGTCTTCTTATTTTGTATAATATTTTCAGTTAATTGATTCACTTTCAAATATTTAATACGTAGTACTGTGTACTTTTTATATTATTTACCTAAATTTCAATGTAGATAGATACTTCACTCTCGTGCAATGCAAGAGTGAACTAGCTACTATTGAATTGATAGAGTGAAAACAAAATAAGAATGATTTGAAAACACGCAAATCTTATCAAATTTGACGTGAGAAAATCTTAGTGAAACACACTCGATATAAATATTAATAAGATGGAGAGCGTAACAATTAAAGATAGTTTTTATACATACTTAGTATGTAAATATTTTTATGGAGTAAAATACTCTTAGCATATTATAAATCTATTCTTCTCACTCTTTTTAGTAGTTCTGTTTTCCTTAAGTAGTTCTATTTAACTTAGTCCTGTTCTGTTTTCCTTGTGAGCAGTCCAATTTGTTGGAATTGAAGATGAGTGGCTTAAACCTTTATACTTTGGTATAATTCATTCAATGCACTACTATACTTTGGTATTATACCTGGACAAAACCGGCCTGGCCCGGCCGGCCCGCCCGGCCCACCCGCACAAATGGGCATATATATTTACCCACCGGGCCGGGCATATATATTTACCCACCGGGCCGGCCTGAGCCCGGCCCGCTACATTTAGTGTGTGTGTATATATATATACATACATATATATATATATATATATATATATATATATATATATATACACAGTGGCGGATCCAGGATTAGAAGTTATTGGGGGCAGAAAAAAATGCATCACAAAAAATAATAATAAAGTAGCAATGTAATATTACAATAATTAATGTCTTACAAAATACATCACAATTGTTCGCGTCGAGTTTTCATCTTTTGAAAGAGATCCATTACAGTTTCATTTGTAATAGTTTCAAACACATCTCTTTCAATGAAACAAATCAGACAATCACTCAAATACTTATCGCCAATTCTATTACGCAAATTAGTCTTCACTATTTTCATAGCGGAAAAACATCTCTCTACGGTTGCTGTGGAAACTGGCAAAGTCAATGCTAGCTTTAAAAGCTTATACACCAAAGGATGTGAAAGATGTTTCCTTGTATCCACCATCACTCGAGCAAGATCACCAAGACTTTTCAATCTAGCAAACCTTTCATCCGCTAACACATTGTCAATATAAATATTGACTTGGTGCTCAAGAGTTCCGCGTTCCACACAACTGAAGTCACTTGGATAAAATTCAGCCAATCTCAACAATTTTGAAGCATCAAACTCACGGAAGGAATCAATCGGACTTAAAGAAGATATGCAAAGAAGTAGCTCGGAATTTACCTCATTGAAACGCTCATCAAATTCATTAATTTGCAAATCCATTATGGTATTAAAACATTCATACTCATAATGATGCCGATTAGTGATATTAGTTCTTTGACGTGGCCTCCTTGGGTTAACAAAGTCCTCATCCATATTAAGCACTGAAATTTCATGCTTCTCACAAAATTGTAAGATCTTCCTCAAATGAGAATCCCATCCATCAGCTCTTACCTTAAGCAATTGTTGCTTTGTTGTTTTCACAAGTGAAACGGCATTCAATATGTCTTGATCTTTCTTTTGAAGAGCCACTGACAAAGAATTTGTGAGTCCCAAGATAAGCTACATCAACTGCAAATAAAACACAAATTTAAATGATTGAAAATATGTTAGAAGACCATTAGCCTGACGTCTTTTGACACTGTCTACGCCCTCCACTTCAATGTGCTCAAGGACTTGAACAACTGATGGAAACAGTTCAATCAAATTGAGAAGTGTTCTATAATGGGAACCCCAACGTGTATTTCCCGGTCTTTGAAGGACAAGCTCCTGATTTAATCTTGTCCTGGTGCTAATTTCACCATTACTTATAGCTTCTTTCACTTTTTCTTGATGACTTTCTCGAATCATATCTCTTCTTTTTCAAGACGCTCCAACCACATTTAATAAAAGAGATATCATTTCAAAAAAATCACCAACATCAAAGTGTTTCTTCGAAACCGCCACAACAACTAATTGTAGTTGATGAGCAAAACAATGGATATAGTAGGCTGAGCTACTTTCTTTCATGATTAAAGCTCTCAATCCATTGAACTCACCTTGCATATTGCTTGCGCCATCGTACCCTTGGCCTCTAACATTTTTCAAACTCAAGCCATATTCAGAAAATACAGAATCAATAGCAGATTTAAGAGACAAAGAAGATGTATCTTTCACATGAACAACACCAATAAATCTTTCTTTAACTATGTCACACCGAACAACGTACCTCAACACCATAGCCAATTGCTCCTTGTAAGACACATCACTAGACTCATCAACCAACAAACTAAACACATCATCACCTATCTCCTTAAGCACAGAGTGAACAACTTCTTGTGCAAAACAATTAGCAATGTCTTTTTGAATGCTAGGAGCAACTACTTGATTATTTCCTGGAGCATTTTTCAATACAACCTTACTCACATCATCATTTTGACTAGCAGTATACTTTACTAGTTCCAGAAAATTGCCTTTATTGTTAGACTCTTCAGATTCATCATGACCACGATAAGGCAGTCCTTGACGCAATAAAAATCTTGAAACATCAATAGAAGCATTCAAACGAATACGATATTCATTCTTCACAATTTCACTCTGTTTATGCAAAGCAACAGCAATTGACTGGTGTTGGTTCATTAAATCATCACATTTTTTAAGTGCCTTATTGTGGAAACTATTTATGTTACCCACATGAGAAGCTAATCGCTCCGTTTTATTCCAACTTGAGAACCCTTCAGTTACAAATGCATCATTCCCAGCACGATTTTCAAAGTGATCTCTAAACAAGTAACAAGGCAAACAAAAGGCTTTGTCATCTTGTATACTATATTCTAACCAATTAGGATATTGATCAAACCATTTAGAGTTAAAGCGTCTTAAAGTCTTCCCAATCTCTTTTTATGGGAAGTCATGACCACGTGGTTGACAAAGTCCTTTAATCAAATATTTTCTCCTGATTTCATCTATTTGATTAGGATGGTACTCGGAAATTTTCCTTCTTTTTGCAGGATCTGAGGGAAGCTCATCCAAATCAACTTGTTTAGGTATTGATGAAGAACATTGAGATGCAATATTTGAAGCATTATTATTTGAACTACCCGGTGAAGGAACGGTAGCCCAATATCTCTTCATTGAGTCTGGAAAAGAAGTTAAATTAAAATTAATTGTTTTAATACATTTCATTTAACTACCTAAAATATTATAAAACATTCTAAAATTGATATAATTAACAATTTCACTAACTAAAATTAAAATTAACTGTTTTAATACATTTCATTTAACAATTTCATCAATTACATTTAATCTAATTGAAAAATTAAAGTGAAAATTGAAAAGATTAAAGGCTTACCTAGACCCTAGTGGCGAGTTGGCGACTGGAGAAGTGCGGACAGCCGCCAGCCGGACAGCGGACTGCGGATGCCGGACTGCGGACTGCGGACAGCCGGACAGCGGACAGCGGGCGAGAGAGCTTTCTGCGCGAAGGAGGCAAGGAGCGTCGCCGCGTCGTTCACTTCTGCGCGAAGGGGAAGTATTTTGTTCTGCGTCGTTCACTTCGTCGAGCGGGCGAAGGATTTTGGGGCAGGCTGAAGGATTTTGGGTTATTGGGGGCAGTCCATTTTTTTATTGGGGGCAGGCCATTTTTTTATTGGGGGCAAACTATTGGGCTTTTAATATTTTTTTAAAAATTAGGAGGGTTTAGTGGGCCTTTATTGGGGGCAGCTGCCCCCCCTCCAGCAAGAGTAGATCCGCCCCTGTATATGTGTATATATATATATATATATACTAATTTATTTATTTATTTGCATATACACATGTGTATTTATATTTACTAATTTTTCTTTATACGTATTTATAGTTTATTATGTTTAAATTTTTAGTTCTTAACAACTAGCCCAATCAATATAATATCTATTTTTGTACTTAAAAATAATACTTTGTGCTTAAATTTTAAATTTTTGATATAGTTTCTCATTATTATTTTTGTGTAAGTATTTTATTTGTATGTGGTGAAAGACGTATAAACATTATAAGCTTATTAATTATTTTCTAAATGTTGTAATATTATTTTTAAACTATTTAAAAAATCATATAATTTTGAAAAAATTAAAGTATTCCCAGGTCCCAGGCCGGACGGCCCGGTGGACTACCCAGCCCGCTCTTATGGGCAGGTATGGACATAGGGTTAGGCCCGTTTTTGCGGGCCGGACCGGGTCCACCCACACATTATGAGCAGAAAATTTATAAAAAGCCGGACCCGAGCCCGGTCCGAACCTGTTTTTGTACAGGTCTATTTGGTATCTATAATCTAATAATGCCTCTCATTAAAATAAACAAGGGAAATTTGCAATGGATATTTATGTTTGGCTAGAATGATTTTTATATTTATATTACTCCGTATATAATTAGAGAAAATATGAAAAGTAACTTTTCAAAAATAAATAGCCCAATTATTCATGATTTATTTCGAGCTCTACATTAGTCGTATTTGGAGATTTGCACATGCTCTATATCATTTGAAAGCTCAGTAAAGTTACAATAATGCAACCACACAAATGCTTTTGAAAAGGTGAGAACAACAAAGCCCATGAATCTCTCTTTCCCTTTGCCTTTTTGCTGGGGATTCCTAAATTACAACTACTTTTGGAAACAAATAAATAAATATCATAAACAAATAAATAATTAAAGTCAATGGATACCTAGACTCCTAGAGCTTTAGTGACTTTTCTCCATCATCATCATAATAATAATGAGAAAAGCAAAAAAAAAACTTAAAAACAAACGAGAAGTTCTTCTTCTTCTTCTCATTCCCAAGTGTTCTTCACCTGGGCTTTCTCCTGGACTTGAAAGGGAAACTTGAAGGAGGTGATGGGGAAAACTCAAACGGCAATGGCGGTGGATCTGAATCACCACAGAGCATCCCCACTATTTCTTTCATAGTGGGCCGTTTGTTGGGCGATCTCTGCAAACAAAGCAGCCCAATTGTTATACAAAGCAAAGCCTGCACCTGATCCAATGACTGTATATTCGGGTCAACAAGATCCAATAGTTTGCCACTGTGGGCCAGCTGCCGGGCCCACGAAACAAGATTCGCCCTCTCGAATTCCGCCATGGGAGAAGCGGTGACCTGGAGCGGTCTTCTGCCGGAGACTAAAACGAGAAGAAGAACGCCAAAGCTGTAAACATCGCACTTCCGGGAAAGAATCCCTCCGCCGCCGTATTCCGGCGCGATGTAACAAACCGTCCCTCTCATGCTAGGGGTACTCGTTACGCCGCCACTCTTGGGGATATTTCCGTCATTTCCGAAGTCTAGGCTGTTCCTCTTCCCACCACCGATTCGAAATTCTCCGCTTAAACTATCTATCCAAAAGTCAATGCTGCCCCTGCTCCCCTTGCTCCGCCGCCTTTTCCTCCCTGGCCCGCTCTCCTCCTCCTCCCTTTGCCACAACGATTCGCCGCCGTTGGACGCCGCCCGCTTCTTCTTTTTCTTCTTTGTTAGTTCGTCGCAGAATTCTTCCCGCCACCATTCTCTTGGCTTCCTGTGTTTCCTGTTCTTGTCATTTTTCTTCTTCTTCTTGTGATCGTCAATTGAATCCTTCTTAGGTCTATCTGTCTTAACTTCGCTGCCCATCCATTCCATCACATAGTCCTTGACCCGACCCGATTCGGAACCGCCGCCATTTACATTGTCCTGCTGCTGTTTCCACCACCAGTCTTTCCTCTCGTTTCCTCGTGAAATTGCGCTGTCCATACTGACCCCGTCGAGAACTCCTTCCGATTCTGAAAGTGGGGTTTCCTCCTCCCCTTCATCGAGAATCTTAATGCAGCAACTTTCCGGCGATCCCACGGCATCAATCGCAGCTTCTTCTGAAATCCCAGTCTCGTTCCCCTCGAGGATTGACCCGTTTCTTTCATCCATATTTCCAAACCCTAGATTCTCCTCCCATCCTTCGTCTTCTCTATTGAGGGATTGGGATAGCCCGAAATCTGCAATTTTGGCGTCGAAGTTTTGATCAAGCAGTACATTCGAGGGCTTAATGTCGCCGTGCACAATCGGGGGGTCGCAGGAGGAGTGAAGGTATTCAATGCCTTTTGCAATGGAAACCAGAATTGAAAACCGTTTCCCCCATTGCATTAGCTCGGGACACTTCCGGTCCATTAAAGCATCTTGTAAGCTTCCGTTTTCCATATACTCGTACACCAGAACTAACCTCCTTCTCCGGCCCTTCTCGTCGGAGGAGAATCCTAAAATGGACACCACGTGCGGGCAGCAAGTCGGGTCGACCCGGGAAGCGAGTGAGAGTTCGTTCTGAAACTCCCTTTCTCCCTGGAGGGATCCAGCAGTGTCCATTATCTTCACGGCGACTTCTTGTCCGGAGGGAAGGAGGCCTTTGTAGACGGAGCCGAAACCTCCCTGGCCGAGACGGTTTGAGGGGGAGAATGAGTCAGTGGCGCGGCGGAGGAGGGAGTATGAGAACCGATGGGGCGGCGGAGGAGACTTGAGATCTGCGGGGACCGTTCTCTTGCGCGAGATTTTCCGGTAAGCGAAGGCGAAGAGGAAGAAAAAGGACAGGGCTAAGGCGGCAGCTACGACGGATAGAATGATGGGGGAGTGAGTGTGGCGGTGGTGGTAGGCGGAAGGCGGCGGTGATATGGCTGAGTAGGTCTCGGGTGGCGGCAATGGGAAATCCGGTGGCATTCTAGTGGACTACTGAATATCGTGATGATGATGATGATGCAGAAAGACTTTTGTGTTCGTAAATTAGAGAAATTAATAAAGAATCATTTTATGGAGCTTTTTTGGAAGGAAATCTGGAAAAGGGGGAGGAAGTGTGTCAGGACTTATACATAAACAATAGGGAAATAATACCATTTTAATCATGTAAAATTGATTAGATCGGGTTTAGTTTTCAACTTTTGCTTTAATAGCTTCTATATTTTCGGCTTATTGATTTATTATTAATCGTTCAATTTTTCTAAATGAAATAAATTTGAACACTTACTGAACAAGGCCAGTTTAACTTCTTTTCAATATGGAGTAAATTTCCTCATAAAATTATTTGCAACATAAATTACAGATAATTTTCTCAAATTTCACTAAGTTTTGTCGATTCAATCGTCACTCATAATTTCAACAAATTTATTAGATTCATTTAATTTCATAGTTACGGAATAACCCTTGAATTCATGTTTCTTTAATTTCATCATTCTTTTCTCTTTTCCTTACAAATCAGTATAAATTACAAACCATTTTTACTATCCCCTTTCACCAATTTTCAGTTTTAGTCTTTCAATATATCAAAACTTATAAATCTACCATTCCCACCGCACAAATGTTTCTTTCATTCAAGTAAATTATGAGCTCGTTTGGTAACACTAAAATCGATCAAATAGACTGATTCTGTTGAAATTTATGAAATTCTGGCAGAAGTTACTGTATTGGCAGATTCTGTTGATTCATTAAAGAATTATATTTTAAATATTTGTTATTAATAAATTAAATAAAAAGATATATGAAAAATAGCTAAAATGATCATCTATAATAACTTCAGTCAATACAGCCAGAAAAGTAATTTCAACCTCACTTTTTCTACTTATTACATAATTCAGCGCGCGAAACCAAAAGTTACGTGTTTGGTTAAAAAACTCGCTGATAAGCTGAAAAAATGGACACCAAACGGACTCTATATTTTATATCCAAGTATCCAACTCACTTGGTTGTATTACACTATTTATATCAAATATGTACCATTTAAACATTTTCAAAGTCACACCAAAATTTATTATTGTATTTGATAGGCTTAAACTGGACACCAATATTGAGAATCATTGCGTTCATCGTTACATTGAAAATAATCGCTGATAGACTCTGATATCAAATTGTAACGATCGTCCCCAAAACGGTCATTACGATACTCAAACGCAAAAGAGACTCGATAAATCAAGCGGAAATAAAGATACAAAGCCTCGATATGAGACTTTATTTGTTTTAGAACAAAATCAAACCTTACAACCATAACGAAACACATCCAAAATAAAACATCTCTAAAACCATTACACGTGATCAGGATTTTAAAAACGTTTAACAACCCTTTGAAGTACCGACGTACTAAAACCACAACATAACTGATAGCCCGATCTTCTCCGTTAACCCATCCAAAACCTTGTCATCGGCTCCATACATTCTCCCAGGCTTCCGTACCTTGTTCATTACCCATGCTGAAAATAGAAGTCTCGTAAGCAATAATGCTTAGTAAGTTACCATTTCATCCACTAAAAACGTTTAGGGAATCTTAGCTAATCATAAATAGATACTCATGCTGAACACACCACACATGTACTATAATCACACATGATATCAACAGATAAGCATTCATGTATCAAACACAAAAAGATTTCCTTATTCACCATTCTTTCTTCTTATCTTATTCCTTGACTTGATGGGCTCGTAGCTCATGTCCTGACCCCTCGCTGATGACCTCGGGTAGCTAGCTGATGGAGTATATGGACTCCGACCCCCCGGTCTACCGACTACTGGGCCTGGACAGCGGTCCACACACGTTTAACGAATATCATTCATATTATTGTACATTATTATTATTGTTATTGTTATTATTATTATTATTATTATTATTATTATTATTATTATTCAGATGTTCTAGATTAGTTTTTTGTACTATCCGTCCATTTATGTAATCGGGTCTTTCGGGCTGATATTAGAAGCCCAGACCCGGATTTCCCTATATATACTCCCTTATGTAAGGTTGTAAAGGATAAGTCATAGAAACCAATATTGATTCACAATAAACACTTATCTCCTTCTTTACACTCTTGTTCAAAACTCATTAGTTATTGGATATGGGTATCAATTATCCATCAAATGGTGCTCTCTTTGAGAGGTTGAACAGAATCAAGTGAGAAAACCTCCCCAAATTACCCAAAAATTCACCCAAACTCACGGAAAATCAGTCAAAAGCAATCTGAAAATTCAACAAAAGATTCTGTGTTCTGGCATCGGAGATCCGGGATTTGCCGGACCTGGCCAGAGCAAATGTCACCGTGTCGCCGTGTCTCAGGGTGGGTCACTCCGCTTCTGGGCTAGCACCACCGCTCCGGCCGCCGTCACACGCCATAGCAGACGTTTTCCGCCCACTGGAGCTCGGCGCCCGTTTCTAGATCCTGGTCGCCGCCGTCCACGGTAACCTGAAGCTCGTCCGCCGCCGCTACTGGGTCTCGCTGCCCGTTCGAGATCTCGCCGCTGCAGAACCACCGCTTGCAGGTATATCCTCTGCCTTCGGTTCAGCATCACTAAACGACGCTCGAAGCCTATTTCTTCACCTTCGCCGCAACATCATCAGTCGCTGCCCCTGGTGAGCCATTGCAAGGATTCTTCCATTGATGGAGATGACGAGCTCCCTGCGTGAGGCTGGCGCTCAAGATCTCGCCGGGGACAGAGAAATGCCACGCATTGCAGCAGCCCCAATGGACCCTCTTCCTCTCTCCGGTGACAGCCAACGATTTTTTCACGCCAGTGACGTCCGTGCGCGAAGAAGAGCGTAGTTTGACGGAGGAAGTGGCGAGCAGCTTCTTCACCCTTCTCCAGCAGCCACCGGAGAACTGTCCAGCGTACGAACTCCGTCGCCTCTGTTACCGCGCCGCCGCGTTTCTATGGTCGCTCCGGCGCCGCGTCTGTCGCCGTCGCATCTCAACGTTCTGGAATGGCAGTTTGGTGGTCTCCGACTGCCATTAATGGGGATTCTAGCTTCGGATTGTTAAGCAGGGGTTTGACCGCCGAGGCCTCTCTTCATTTCCGGCGGCCTGTGCTGTGATACGGGAGGTCCTCCATTTCTAGCGTCAGTAAGGCTAAGCATGAGAATCCATCTGCGAGCGTCACCAGTGAAAAGGATTTGGTCTCTAAATTAATTCAGTGGACCCACTAAATAAATTGAAATACGGAGTATATGGCTTAGAAGGATCCATACGTGGATGCACTCCACTCCTCTCATGGTGGCCGAGAAAATATGTAGCAAATAACTAGCTTCAATCAAAATTTGTGGACCAGCAGACAACCTTTAGTCTAGAACCGATCTAAAAAAATGTTGGGTCGTGGTCTTTGCAACAGATACAACCCAAGTGGCCCAATATTTCAGCCCATCAAAAGATAAGTGCTCTTTAATATTCATATTATTTATATTTATTTAAATCTTCTTTTTTGTCGGCCGAATGTCAAACTATCACACAATTATGATCAAATGCCTAGTAGAGCGTGGCTTGAGACCCATCACTAGGATTTAAAACCCTGACTCTCAGGCACAAAGCCCTGACTCTCAGGCACAAAGCCCTGACTCTCAGGCATGAAGACCGGCCTTAGTCATTCCAAGAATGGCGACCGTTGCGTACGAATGGCTCACACATCCAGTCTACTAAGTATTTTATCATTACATTAGCAATTCACATTTCCACTTTTTTCAAATGACGAACTCCCGATCGGAAACATAAACCTCAAGGAAAAAATGTATATGCATGTTAAATGTGTAGGTATAAAGATTACTTTACTCATTTTCACCTTGTCTCCACTCGCCTCAAAGAGTGGGGATTGGGGGACTGAGGGGTCAGATTTTCTAGATGAGCAGAAAATATCACACATGAGCAGGAATGAGAGTTGAGTCGGTTGAAGAGGAGCTGAGCTAGATTGATCAATCCGGAGGAGACTTAAATTCCTTATTTTATGTTGGGGGCACTAGGTGTACTCTTTTTTCCTTTATTAGGATTTTTCCCACTGGGTTTTTTCCTAGTAAAGGTTTTTAAGGAGGCACCTCCCCATCATGGACAAGGGTGGTGGTCCCCGGCCGGAGAGGAAGAAATCAAAGACAGAAGAACGTTGCAGATACAGTTTGGACTACTCTCTTTCGCCTCGAGTACTCTCGACTCAGCGAGTGGGGGACTCCTGATGGAGTATATGGACTCTGACCTCTCGGTCTGCCGACTACTGGGCCTGGACAGCGGTCCACACACGTTTAGCGGATATCATTCATATTATTGTACATTATTATTATTATTATTCAGATGTTCTAGATTAGTTTTTTGTACTATCAGACCATTTATGTAATCGGGTCTGTCGGGCTGATATTAGAAGCCCAGACCTGGAATTCCCTATATATACTCCCTTGTGTAAGGTTGTAAAGGATAGGTCATAGAAATCAATTTTGATTCACAATAAACACTTATCTCCTTCTCTACACTCTTGTTCAAATATGTTTAGTTATTGGATATGGGTATCAATTATCCATCACTAGCCCTCAGCCATCAGAAGCAAACCCGGGACTCCCCACGAAAGGAGATCCCACTACGCTCAGCTCAGATACTTACTTAGGGGAACGGCTACCTTGTAACATTTCTTGTCTTTCATTACTTTCATCATCACCATCACTTCCTTTCATTGTTCATTTCATATGAATCCAACCTAAACTCAAACATAGAACTTGAAATTCACATATCTCATGTCGTACAATTTCAAGTATTCATGCACATACATCACATTCACAACATTCTATAACTTTACAACTAACACCACCTGTCAATTGGTACATATAGCTAATCTTCCACACTTTATTTAGAACTATCATGTATAGGTGGTGGTGACTTACCTGGTTCACGCAGAGTATTTGCCCTTGTGTGTGCGTATACGGTGTCCATGAGCAACGGTTCTTCGATGAGCAACTATAATTATAAATACACAAGCTTATGCTTGATCATACTTAAATTCATGTTTTTAGAAAATCCTTAGACTTAAGGTGAGGGAAAGTTCACAAATCAGCCCCTACAAGTTAGAAAACTTCCCCTTTTCCTACAACAAATCGGACATAGATTCGGGGTGGCTAGATAACTAAGAATCCAATTGAATTTCATGAATCAAGACTCGTCATCTATTAACTCCCTCTCATAATATCAAGAACTCCAAGTATCTATTTAGAATCAGCCACTAATCATTAAAATACTTCCCAAATTCTTTCATTAAATTGGGTTGTTGAGGTTTAATCTCGTAGATGCGAAAGCCCAACACAGACTTTGGATATATCAGGAAATGGACGATAATTCAGTGTATAAAAGAAATATAAAAGATGATATCAACGAACACTCAAAGCACACTTGTATTAAGTAATTTGACTATTACACTGGAAACTACCTGAACGGTATGGTGGAATAGTAACTAATACAAGAAGTCAGAGAAAATGTTATTCTAGGCTTGAGTATCAAAATGCTAACCTTTTACAATGAAATTAATCCTTCTATTTATACTAATGGGGGGTATGGGGTACTTCATGTTGATTGGTTGCTTTATCTAGTCACTTGGAACTCATGCTCCCACTAGCTGCCGTCATACTTTAGCAATAAATGCCCCCTGCCACTTATTGGCTACCCGCTGCTCGAACGGGCATTGAATCTTGCTGGAATCATCATTGGTTTGGCTCGAGTTCGCTGATTAGTCCGATCCCCGTTCGGTACATCTGATCTGGAGTCATTATTGATCTGGCCCGTTAATGATTTGGCTCATTAATGATTTAGCCCAAGTATGTTAATCTATCCGAACCTCGTTCGGTACATATTTTCCCAAGAGCTGGTTCATTTTCTGGATGATGAGCCCGCCTAACGAAATGGATATTTTGGGCTTTAGATCCGGGTATTGGGCCTGCGGCCCAATATCCCAACATGGGTATAATTTTGAGGTAGCTTATTACTTAAAAATTCACAAGGGTTTTCAATCAAGGATGAACAACAACTCCATAACAAACTTATTATTAAGAAAATCCATTAATTTTCCTAGAATCAACCCTAAATCAATCAACCCTAGAAAAATTCCCAACCAAGAACTATAGATACAAATATAGTAGAAATACTTCATGTTAAGTGTAAAACCTTACCAAGTGATGATATTTGATGAAGAATAGGTTTAATTTGAACTTGAATTAGTCTATGAAGGGTTTGGAATCACTTCAGAGAGATGGAATCGAGCAGGGCTCCATTTTGAGGGAAAGGGGGATTTTTCCCGTTTAAATACGGTGTTAGCTGATCTGAGCAAAAAATCGCCCGGACCGGCGCCGGTCATGGCCCAACCGGCGCCGGTTATCCTGCCTTTCCACCGCCTAACTTTATGTTTTGGACCGGCACCGGTCCGGGTCCAACCGGCGTCGGTCCGGAGTTCCCCCGGTGCCGAAAACGCCCTTTTTCGTCCTAAACCGACCCCGATTGTTGCCGATCACCCCCCTTGACCCCCGATGACATTTTAAACTACTTTTTAAATACCCGAATACTATCTAACATTAAAACTAACTTGATATACCATTCCATTCGAAATAAAATGATTATTATGGTATCGTTTCGTTGCTCATCGGGTACTGTCGTCTGTCACGATAAAACATATTTCAAGTATATAATTCAAGTACAGTTATCACCAAGATCATAATCACATGATATCCGTATACTTCACATATATAGCATTCAAACGATAAGTTAAAACATGATCATATATAATTAATTAGCACATAAGAAGTCGATAAAAGTACGGGTGTTACAATCCCTCCCACCTTATAAAAGTTTCGTCCTCGAAACTTGAAATAAATCGGGATAACGACGTTTCGATATTTTATTTCTTTTCTGACTTCTCAGTTCTCACATATTTATGCACAATAATAGCCTTACACCTTTTTTTAGGTTACCCCTTTATTTTCTGGAGCATGTGTCTTTAAATTCTAAAAATGTGTACTGGCTTTTCTTATTACCACATATACAACTACTTGTGACATATACAAAGATTTGACAAAAGTTTCTCCTCATAAGTATTCTTCTCATGTTTTGTGCTTATACTAGAACACAAAATCCTAAACACTGAACATAACATTTATTACGAATTGGTTTACTGATTTGCTCTATTTACTTATTAATATGAGGGCAGAAGATCATACAAAATCCTAGCTTGTTTTAACAACATATACCACACACCATAAAAAATATTTAGACTTTAGAACAGCATTCAATCCGGTGTGCTTAGTTCAAACTGGTCTTTTTAAATTTAAAGGATAGAAATCTTCCTAAATTTCATCACTTCATCTTGATCTCATAAATTTTAAAATATCTAAAACATAGCTAGCGTTTCACCTTCTTTCTATTTTACCGAATTCATGAATAGATTGTGGGAGAGAATGTAGTTTTCTAATTCACTTTTATATCACTTATGTTGAATAAATTGTTTTATTTATGTTATATTCTTATGAGAATATATATATATATTCTCGTACGAATCATTTTTCAAGGTTATAACCGGGATGGCGTCGGCGATTGTGAGATCCGGCATCCGCTCCGCCCTACGCGGTGGTGTATCTCCCAGAACCCAGGGTTTCAAGCGTAGCTTCGCTTCCTCTGCCCATCTTGACGAGGCCGCCGAAGCTTCAAAGTGGGAGAAAATTACTTATGCAGGAATAGTTGCATGTAGTATACTTGCAGTTGTTACTGATCTCTCAAAGGGTCACCCACACCACTATGAACCTCCTGCATATTCATACATGCACATTCGCAACAAGGAGTTTCCATGGGGTCCAGATGGCCTTTTTGAGGCGAAGCACCATTGATTGTTGCCCCCATCATTCTGAAGACAAAGAATAATTTGTTTGGAAATTGCTTTCAAGATTTCGTTGAATCTCGTGCAGTATTTGCAGCTCAAGTTTTTGTTTTCCTGGTTTTTAGGTCACTTTAAGTGGGAAACTTTCGCATAAGAGGTTGGAATGTAATTTTTCCAGCAACTTCAAATTTCAGAACTATACTTCAAGCAAAATACTGAAGAAAAATTCTGACTTGAAAAAAAAATACTCCGTATATATATATTCCATGACACTAACATAGTTTTCCTAGTAGTATATTTACCGTTGAATCCTTAAGACACCTTTTTTATGCGTGATAAGGTACTCAAGTCTAACACATCATATATTATAATCTCAGGAAAAATCATTCATTTGGTATGTTACATTTGTGCTATTTGTTGTCAAGGTGTCCCTCCACATTAAAATCTTTTCTAAAGGATAAGAGGAAGTCTTCATTTCTTTCAATAATCCAGTGTAATTTGACTTCCCTATTATATCAAAAGAGTTTCTTTTTTAAAATCTAAAATAGATGAACTATTAAACAAAAATCTTCTTGTGGATAAGTCTTTTGTGAATAAGTTATATTATAAGTTTAGTAACCAAATCTTCTCGAAGTCCTCTAGAAAATCAGTATATGGGTTAACATTAACATGTCAACATTAAAAGAAATTATTTGCTTAGTTTCAAATTTTTCATATTTCATAAACACAAGACATCATAAATGATTTGTTTAACAAAATTTGACAGTGTCATACCCATAATTGTCTGACACAAAAAATATCTGATAGTAGACAGTCAAGACAAGGAGGTGAACTATCACTAGGTCAATGATTTTATATAAATTTCAATTCTTTCACCCTTTTCTACAATGATTTGGAGACTATCTCTTTGCTTCCTCAATTAGCTGTAGAATGATTAGAAAGCAAAATGGTATGGACATTTTTATTTATTAAACCCTTCAACCCTTCACTAATCAAAATGTGTTATATTCAAATCTGTAGTCTATAAGAGACAAAACTAATGGTTTAATCGTAAACTCCCTTTAGGCCGTTCATTATCAATAATTATTTCTTGGTTGATATTCCACAGTATTGTTCTTTCTAACTTTAATCTTCTAACTATATCACTTAGGAATTATTGTTTGCTCGTGGTGGTAAAGTTTATGTAACCTTCCAGAAATAAGGAAATCAATAGGTAACACATAATTCGTTGTGTATCAATGTTTCGGGACATTGAGAGACTGAAAGAATTGTTAGCACTGCATCTCCGTAGCCCAACAAATGTGTATTTTGGAATTTACGTTTTGAACCTAACTGTGTTCGTTGTGTTCATTTATGAATTTTACATTATTTTGTATCAACATGTGCTCCCAAAATTAGTAACACTTTCAGATTACTTACACATATTTACAAATTATGATACCATTACAATGCAAGATATCACTTCATAGATCTAACGCAGAACATTTATAGGTAGTATTAAGAATGGTTTTAAAGAGATCCTATATCAGAACACAAATCAGACTTAAACAAACCAGACTTAAACAAACTAGGTCAGACTAGACCAGAATTAAAGAGATCAAATCTGACTAGATCAGATTTAAACAAATCAAATCAAATCAGACCCGTCTTCCGTAATTATAAAATACACAGAGATCATACATTTACCAGATCAGATCAGACCAAACCAGACTGAAATTGACAAGACCCGACTAGACCATCAAATTTCAGTATAAGTAAAAACAACCTAACAGACACATAATATAAATGTAGTCACACTATATAAAAAGCATTAAATCAAATATAACTTCATTAGACCAATTATTTTTGGGATAATTTGACTTTACACCCCATTTTATGGTTGATATGTGACTTTGCCCCTTATTTTTAAAATCGCTAATGTTTGCACCCATCAACCCAAAAAATGTGAAAGATTGGGATACAAAATCAAATGATTTTAGGGAAATTGTTCTAAATATGAGTAAAACCGCTTGTGTATCTCAAGTTTGACAATAATTACTTCTATTTAGGTAGGGATCAAAACACGTGAGTCATATTTTGAAATTTTCTAATGTTTTTACTCCTATTTAAAAAAACAATGATTTTATAGTGATTTAGGATGTTTTTACTTGGATTGTAATTTGTTGGTCTGGTCTGGTCTAGTCTGGTCTGATCTGGTCTGGTCGGATCTGGTCTGGTCTGGTCTGGTCTGGTTTCTTTGTATTTTTATAACTATCCAAGTCTGGTCTGGTCTGATCTGAACTGGTCTGGTCTGATCTGGTCTGGTCTGATCTGGGACGAATTACAGTCCAAGTAAAAACATCCTTAGAGTACACACGTTAACGATTCAAAATTAAATATCACCCAAAATATGGATTACAAAATCAATTTCCCCTATTATTTTTCAATAGTGCACACATGCTTGAGCTGTGTGGTAGTTAAAACTAAAGTAATGATGTCGTGTTAAGTTGGAGTATGAGTTTTTCGTTCACGAGATACTCCAAAATCATGGTATATGAATTACTTTTATAAACGTTTAAGGCGATAAATATAATGAAGTATTCTAAAATTTTATATATGTAATTTGCTTATCAAAGTTAATTAACCCAATAAATAACCTAAATAACATCTTTATATATGCAAATCGACTATAAACCCAAATCAAAATATTAAATTTGGTTTTACTCAAAATCAAAGTATCAACCATAAACGTTGAATTATTGGGTTTGGTTTCCATAACTGTCTACCCAAACTATTCTATAATAGCCAAAAGTTACACAACTAAAATTGTAAATCTCTCTTAAATATTTAATATTTGAATTTGATGGAAAAAGAAAATAATTGAACAAAAGAAAAATAAATAAAGAAAAGCAAGAAAAAGGAACGAACGGTGCTCCAGAAAGAAAGAAAAGGGGAAGACACTTGCCTAAAATGGATCGACACACCGTGCGAAAGATGGGTCGATCCCAAAGTATAATATAATTTGTGAAATAACATCTATATATATGCAAATCGACTATAAACCATATCAACATACTACGTATTAAATTTGGTTTTACTCAAGTTCAAAGAATCAACCATAAATGTTGAATTATTGGGCTTGGTTTCCATAACTGTCTACCCAAACTATTCGATTTCAGATCGGGTAGTTAAAATCACTCTAATCTCATGTTCATAGTCTCACATCCAACGTACATTTCTTCTGGTCCGATATCTCACCCCTTCATTAATTGAGGGCTATCCAATCGACCACGAAAATGGATACCCAAACAGTTTCTTGATTTACTAAAAGTTTAATTGGTAGGTCAATAGCGTTGAATTTTTTAAGCATAATAATGTTATTTCATTAGCGATTTCAAGTTTCCAGCTTGCAAATGTCACTGAGGTTTCCACTGTGTGAATGTTCTCCTATCAAATAACTCTACACTAGTTATCAACAACACATTGACTTGCACACTTTAATAGATTAGGAAAAAACATGGTTACTCAATATCTTGTCTCATAGTCCGATGATATCAGTGTTGATATCTCAATGAGTAGGTCACACGCTCCAGTTTCATCCCAATTAAAGATGTTGGCATTATCGTGAGCAAATAATATCCAAAAAATACAAAAACAAAAATATGGTTACAATTATGGAGAACGAATGTTTTTTAAACAAAATGGAGAAAAATAAAAAATGAAATGAAATGGAAAGAAAATATGGACGTTAGGTTGTGAAAAGGAAATTATGAAGAAATTTATAAGACGAGTGAATATATTACATAAAATTATCAAATAGCCATCAAGTTCAAAAAGCCCATTGACCCATATTAGAGATGTAGAGGCCGTTTGGCAACCCTCATTTTCGGCTTATCAGGCTTCTCAGTCAACTTTTTTACCAAACACGTAAATTTTGCTTTCGCGCGCTGAATTGTGTAATAAGCCGAAAAAGTAAGGTTGTAGTTACTTTTCTGGCTGTATTGGCTGAAGTTACTGTAGATGACCATTTTAGCTATTTTTACATATATTTTTTTCTTTATTTTTTTAATAAAATATATTTTAAAAATATTTTTTTCTTGTATCAGCAGAATCAGCCAATGCAGCCACTTCAGTCAGAACTTCATAAATTTCAGCAGAATAAACCAGAACAGCCGATTTTCGTGATGTCAAACGGGCTCGTAGTAGTACGGAGTACTTAATACTCCTTTAAGTGCACTCATTATGTTGACGTGTAAGCGGGATATATGGCGAGTGAATAACTTCTAAGTTGTCATGGTTTAAGTTCAATCCATTATACATTTATATTTTTATATGTAACGGGTGTGACTCCTCGTTAGCCACCGCAAAAAAATCACCTGTAGTCACGGACTTAGTCACGGACCGTAGTGTAAAAAGTCCATGACTAACACTTTTAGTCACGGACGTATCCGTGACTATGTTAAATTTAAAAAAATTGAATTTATTCCGGATAAAATGTAGTCACGGATCTGGTCCGTGACTAATGTTTTTGTTTTTTTTAAAAAAAGTCGATTTTAAATAAAAAAATTAAAAAATGAAAATTGAATTTATTCCGGATTAAAAAGTAGTCACGGATTTAGTCCGTGACTAATGCTTTTTATTTAAAAAAAAAACAATTTTTTATAAAAAAATAAAAAATTATTTTAATTTTATTTTAAAGCAATTAGAATAAAAATAAATTCCATACAATCTTAAACATAAAAAATGTTATTACAGACAGAATTATAAAAACAAAATGCATACAATGTCAAACAATATTATGTAATTACATACACGTACGTCGGACTCCATTGTGATAAAAATTAGAATCATCATAATCATATTCATCATCATTATCATCATAGTCACGATGATGATCCTCTTCTGCATCCACGGTGTCCAAGGGTCGGGAACTTCCTCGGCTGTCTCGGTTGCCTCCTCGATTGCCTCCTCGGTTGCCTCCTCGGTTGCCTCCTCGGTTGCCTCCACCCGATGACTGAAACTGATTGAGTATATCAGACGACAGAGATCCGAATGTCGACCCTATTGCAGGCATGACACCATAACCGGAGTTAGAGTGGTAACCCATACTACCCATGTGCGGAACCTGAGGAGTCTGCTCAACGTGCATAATG